GATTACATCTTAAATCTTTTATATTAATGCAAAGCAGATTTTTATTTTCTCTGTAGGTCACGTTACTAGAGAGTCTAATTGCTCTTTTTTAAGTTATACTAATTGGATACAGATTAGTTTGATAGGTGTTTCCCTACTCCTGCAGACCATACTGTAGGTCATGTAAGCAAGAATAGGAGCAATACAGAAGAAATATATATATGTATATATATATTTTTAGGAAAATTTTTGCTTTAGAAATGATTGCAAGAGATTTAAATATCTTTGATTTATTATAGTTTATATGATGTTTCCAGCTAACTTTCCTTTATACAATTATTCCAAGACATTTTAATTCATTCACATGTTCTATCAGTTCCGTTTATCATCAAGTGTTTTGTCCCCATTAATGGCAAAATTTCCAAAAATTCTAAATTTGGTTTTATTTAAGTTTGAATATAATCTGTTCTAAAACAGTCTGCGTGCCAAGGTGTTTGATTTTATACACATGTGGCCATGGAAGTGAATGAAAAACCTGATTCCAATAATTTTGATGTGTGTGCCTTTGGTAATGTAGTGTACTTCTGGTTAGGGAATAGTCAGTATTACAGCAAATCAGAAAAAGACTTTGTTTGCGGGTTCTTCAAATTGACTGTAACACTGACTGCTACAGGAGATAACATGGGTTGCACACACCTTTAATTATCTTTGAGGTGATTTAATTGCTATTATGTTGCTTTGAGCCGAGTTACAAAGCAGGAAGCCATGTCACTGGCAAATATTTCCTAACAATCTTAAAGTCCAACCAAATACAATTATAAGTGATACTTGATAAATAAGTGGCTTATTTTTTGCCTCAAAAATAACCAACAAAATAAAATAAATAAAAAAAAACAGTTACAGAGCATTAATAGTCTGACCTGTATGCACCAGATTCTCACACCGTTAGCTGTAAAAGGGTTAGGCAGTAAAACAAGTTTTTCCTTATGCTGATGGATAAGATGTTGTTTTTGTCTGATCCACATCATGCAAAGCATCTGAAAAGTCAGCCATGCAGCACTCAAAAATGAAAACACCAAACTGTTACAAAGCGGCATTCCTATCTTTTCCCATTTACGCTCATATCAGCTCAGGTAGATGATGCACTGATGTAAGAAAGACTTTAACTCCTATCTGAGATAAATGTTTGAGAGTATTTTACTGTGGGACTTTCACCTCTGTGTTTCATCTCAGAGCTGCAGACTGGAGCTGCTGCTGGTCAAACTTTTCCAAGCTTTTCTTTCCCAATGTGATGGATTCAGTGGTTGGAAGTTTTCAGCAGTGAGCGATGTTTGAGCGATGTTATCAGATAAAGAGCATTCATCTCCACCGGGTGGAACAGGACACATTTCGATGGAGGCACGCTAACTCCTTTATCCCAGTGTGATGGTGCGATACAACTGTGGGCTCATGCTGCTGCAGGTCCGACTGTAATTCAGCCTTAACAGAACAGCCATGGATAGAAAAAAAACTTAAGCTCTGACTGGCTGTGAGTTTAGCAGAGGGCTGTAGTGGAAATATTTGTCTGGATGTAATAATCAAAAAGCCAAGGATCTGAAAGGAGATTGGTAAGTAAATACAAGAATTAAACTTAACATGTAATCCTGATATGAACCTATAAATTCTATAAACACCTATAAATCAGGTGGCTGTATTGAGAATAACAGCTAATTGCAAAAAACCCAACCTTAAAAAAAAAAAAAAGGATATAGTTATATGTTTCCATATTCTGTATTTAACGTCCAACAGGGACACACATTTCTTTTATTTCTCAAAAGTTTGAACATCTAAATGCTAACTAACGCCATGAGGTAACTATTAGCTCAAGGTGTTTTGTGTTTAATGATGGTGATCAGGTTTTAACCATTGATTACAGCCTGGGGTGATAATGAGAGGTTAGATCACCTTAAATAAGCTCTTGTTGGAAATCTTTCTTTTCTTATTTTATATATTTTTTTCATGCTATGACTTGTTATGCTTATGTTATTGATGAGTAGAAATACAAATTAATCAGTTGCCTTTATTTTTCATTCAAAAATATACAGATTTTTTTTTAAATATTGCCATATTTCTGCTCTTATTTTGAATAATTTCAATAGAAACAATGGTTTTGTAAATGCTTTGCAAGAATATTGATGATCACTAGTATATTTTCTCACTCTACAGCCACAACGCCATTGTATGTTGATGCAATTTTTTGTGGTAAACCAACACAAGATTCCCAAATAACTGCTAAGGGGAGGGAAAAATAAATATTTTGGTAATGCTTTCTTTCACATAGGCAACAAGAAAAAACTTAATTTGGTAAGTAACCCAAAATGATTATTGATGTACTGTACTGTGAAAGAAAGTATTACAATATTTTTTTTAGAATCAAAATGTTCAAATCTAACCATACTTCTCTGAAATTAACATCAGATCAGTATAAGAGAAGAAGCCAGGGATTGGTTTCCCACTCCTGGTAACTTTGGAGAAGCTTCAGATATGCACAACTTATATATCAACTTAAAAAGTATTAGTAGAAATTTGCAGTTTGACATGAAGAAACTGCAAACTTCCGGACTGCTTTCGCTTTCTGGTCAGAAGACACAAAACATTTTATTTTATCTAAAACAAAAAGCTACATTTGGAGACTAAATAACACTACATACCACCCTGAAACATCATCCCCACAGTGAAACATGGTTGGGGGAATAAGGCAATGAAGATGTGTAGAGCTAAATACACAGAGAAAAGCATGTGAAAGGCAGTAGTACCCAACGGAATGGCCTTAACACGCTAAAGCCAAGTTTTACTAGAAATCAGCCATACCAAAATATGAATAATTAATGTCGCCCATTTAACAACTCCAAATCATCCTTTATCCAGACTTAGATGTTCCAGATTTCACTTTTTAATCCCAGTTTGGGATTAACTAGAAGATCTTGCACTATATGTAGCAGTTGTTGCATAAAAGTGAAAAGGAAACCTTTTTTTTTACAGTTTTTTTTAACGAAAAATTACATTTTTTTCTTTGTCTGAAATATAATTCAGATTTAACAGTGAGATTTTTTCACTAACATGCACCTACATGAAATATAAAGGTAATTCACATTTTTTTTATTTTCCCAAATGTAGGTTTTAAAAAGAACAAGTACTGTTAAAATTACATCAGTTATAGCCGTGGTGCTAATAGAAACTGGCAGCCAAACTACTCTTTAGAAGTGTTGTATTATATGGTGCAAATCGGTGCAGACATGGAAATAAAAAAGTCTGTTGTCTGAAAAGCTTCACATTACTTGGCTGACTTAAGTATATTATGATGAATTAAGACCATTAAAAAAATGTCATATTAAAAAAAGAAATCTTAGGCAATTTATATTGCTGCAAGTCATTTAATCTGCAAAATCTCAGCTTCTAGAAAAGTATGTGTTTTCATAGAAGATTACTGTCAAAATAAACCCAGAAAAGTATAAAGCTGCAATACAATCCTGGGACAAAAATGGAAAACTACTTCAGAAACATTAACATTCTCCATCAGAACTGCTTGCTTATTTCAACATATTTGGTGAGGCGGCAGTTTTTTTATGCACAGTACCTTCCAGATTGTATTAAATCCTTTTATATATTTTATTAGATAACTTACAAAATAAAGCAATACACGCATTTTAAATTTTTACAATTGAATTTAATAAAAAAATCGAAGTTTGTGGAAAAAACCCTCTTTATTTGTATATTCTAAGTAAAGTCTTTTTTATCTGATCCTCACATTTGTTATCACATATTCAGGGAAAACTGCCTAAATAGATATTTTTCCAGGTTGGTGAGAACAATGAGCATCAAGTACACCAGGTAAACAGCAGATAGTTGATGGATAAACTAATGATTATTTTCAAGTAATGTTTGGTGATAAGAATACAAAACCAAGAGTGAGCATTTAATGGGATCTGAAATGGAGGGGTAAAAACCCACAGCAGTACAAGTAAGGCATGACTGCTGCGTAAACTGACTCACAAGGATCTGATACATCTGATAAATCAGCCAATGAGGCCCACTCTAACTTTTGATGGAGATCCAGAAATTCTCAACTCAGCCAGAAAAATAAGTTGATAGAACATCTGTGGTTGGTGCACTTTATGAATCTGAGCAGTGAGAAAACCACCAATCCCACAGCAAACGTGGAATAAGGTCCTCTGCTTGATCAGCACAAAGCAGAAATTTAACATATCATAAAACATAGTGGTGGCAGAATGATGCTGTGTGGATGCTTCTCTCAGGCAGAGCAGAAACTTAACTCATGGGTTGATAGAAGATGAAGTGAGTCTGGAAGAAAAGTTGTTGAAGCAGAAAAGATCTGGGCTATCTTTACATTTTGGAGCAGTTCTTTAACCCTTTAATCCATCAATCCATCATCACACCACCCAAGAAGCTTACTTTAAAAAATGGAGGCGCGGCTAGGAGAAAATATGAATTATGTTCCGCCCTCCAGAAGCTGCTCGGAGGAGACTGAATGACAGCCCGAAAACACACGGGAGACCAGTAGGAGAACTGCAGAAAGAAGAGGGCGCTTCTAACTTTGGAAACTGCATTTTTTTTCCTGTGCGGGACCCAAACATGCGCTGGAAAAGTGACGCTAAAGCGGAAAGCTGCGCAGGGAGCGGCAGTGAGAGCGGATCTCCACTGTCCAACAGCGAGGTGAGAGCGCAGCTGACCTTTTCAGTTCTTTCTGGAAGATGGGGGTCACTCACTAAATATGAGTGGAAATTGCTTTGCCCAATTAATCCAGAGTGGGCCTCGGTGTGTCATTATACAGCCAGGCCTTCCACTACAGCTGACAGCTCGGTATTTTCACAATTTGAAGAAATGTCAAAGGAAATTACCCCTCCCTTGAATTCTGCAATTAAAACTCAAGTAGTTAATGAGACCTCTTCACCTTTTGGTTGCCGCGGGTAGACGTTTGTAGCGAACTTAAGCTCCTTTTAATTGCTGTTATTAAATAAATCAGTCCTCCCTTTTTTCCTGCAGACTTCGCGCTGGTTTTCTGATTGACGCGTGAAACGGGTGTGTTGGTTGGTTTAACCTGCAGCTCCTTCTCTTTTTTTTATTCCACTTTTATTGCCGGATTACAAATTTAGACTCTGAACAACATAAATGCACAGGCGATAAGTGTCGGCTCAAGTGTTGTCTGTTTTTGTAAGTAATGGCTATCTTTTTCTCCTAAATGTCATTGTGGTTTTTCTATAATCGCCGCGCGTTGTCATGGTGAAAGGTGAAAGGCATGATATTTATGGGAAGGTGCGGGGGGCATTTAAGGCGGACGCGCCGACATCCTCTTCTTGTCGCGCAGCTGAGCGTCATGTGTGAGGACTGCAAGGGAGAAGAGCTGCCGGGGAAGTGCGCCGAGGACAGGAGGGACATCATGGTATGCTGGATGATGCAGAAAGGTTCACCTTGATTAAAGTTGTAGCTTCAAGCAATTTTTTTCCCCTTATTTGTTAAAAAGTTTTTCCATTAAATGCTAAGTTGACAGGAGCTCGTGCGCGCTGCTCGGGCTGCTGCCTCCAGCTTGGAGTTGGACGCGTTCCTGTGCGTAACTTTCTAACCGGTGGTCTGGTGATCTCCGTCAGGGCGCGCCGGTGGAGGTTTTGGATGAGGACACTTCTTCCCCGCAGGCGATGAACTCTGCGCCACTGCTGGGCAGGAGCGTGTGCGCCAACTGCAACGAGGAAATAGTGGATAAATATTTATTAAAGGTACTCAACTTTTTATTTTTTTTATCACTATTTATTTATTTTGTTTGGAGACTCTTCTTCGTTTTTGATGACTTTGCTTTTTCTCTTTCTGGAATCTGTCCAAACATTCAGACTGTGTGTTCTCCTTACTCATCGTATCTTTGCTTTAGGTTAACGACTTGTGCTGGCATGTGCGCTGTCTCTCCTGCAGCGTGTGCCAGACCTCGCTTGGCAGCCACGCGAGCTGCTATATCAAGGAAAAAGAAGTTTTCTGCAAACTGGATTACTTCAGGTATGCGCTCTCACACTGTTACAAATGTAACCGATTTCACATTTCAGATAGAATTTAAAATTAATGCAGAAAATACCAAGAGTGCGATGTACAGCGCATTCTTTCATTTCTTTCTTTCTCTAATTTACAGCCTTCCTTCAGGTGTAATAATAATAATAATAATAATAATTATTATTATTATAAATAAAGAGATTATTTGTTTTGATCTTTTTTTTTATTCGGTAAAGCATTTAACTGTTAATCAAATATATCAGTCAATAACCAAACCTATCCAGGATCCAGGATATGACTCTTATTATTACCTCGGATTATTTTGGTAAAATAATCTAAAAGATCAAAGAATTGTCTTAAAAAACTGGAGTAAAATAGTTGCGTAATGAAGCCACCGACTGTCCTCCCCTACAGACGATATGGCACCTGGTGCGCCTGCTGCGGCAGGAACATCCACTCCACAGACTGGGTCCGCAGGGCCAAAGGCAACGTCTACCACCTGGCCTGCTTCGCCTGCTTCTCCTGCAAGAGGCAGCTCTCCACAGGGGAGGAGTTCGCGCTGGTGGAGGGCAAAGTGCTCTGCAGGGTCCATTACGACTGCATGCTGGACAATCTCAAGCGGGCCGTGGAGAAAGGTGAGCGGGCCGCAGCGGTGCGCAATTTGCATCACCATTTTTTTTTTTTTTTTTTTAGTGTAGTAATATTGCACTGTTTTTCAATAGTGGAGCGTCTCATGTTTTTAGTTTGTCTTGATTAGATTATTCTGCTGCAGGAAACAGTGTTAATATGGAGGGAGCCGTCCCCACAGAACAAGAAGTCAATCAGCCTAAACCCTCTAAGAGAGCTCGGACCAGCTTCACGGCCGATCAGCTGCAGGTTCGTGCAATTAAAAAAGAAAATTACAAGGATTTCATTTTTAAACAGTTTATTTTCTGGATAATTTCATTCGGAAAATACCAGTAGTTTGGTTTCTTTTTTTAATCCCTTAAAAAATAATAATAACATCTTCAGCATACTCCCCAATGGGATGGGTTAAATGCAGAGATACATTTCTCCAATGTGAGATTAATAAAGTTCAATTATTATTATTGTTGTTATTATTATACGTTAATATAGAAGTTGATTGTTTATCATCTTAATACAGCGATGTAATTAGATTTGTTTTGGTTCCATTTACTACATATTGATTTCATAAATAAGGCCTTATATTAACAAAATAGATTATTCATATTAGAGAATCTCCGAAATATCGGCAAGGCGTCGGAATCAACCTTTGTTCTGTTAATCAGCATAGATCAGATGCTCTCTGTTCTCTTTATTCATCACAATAAATCAAAACAAAGATTTTCCCACTGTTGTTAACGAGATTTTTTTTCTTTCTTTGTTTCGCATTCAAAACAACTACATATTTAAACTAACTTTTTTTATAGTAATTGTTTAAAAAATTAACAAAATTAGAAGGGAAGGGCTTGAAGAAAACCTGAAATATGAATTTGTCCATTTGTAAAGACTGTAAAGAAGCATTAGGTGGGCTATTAAAGTAATTAAATTATCAGTAGTATGGCAGTCATATCTCCGGTTCAAGAAAACACTATAATAAAAATATAAGTCAGATATAAAATTATATATATATAGCCTATATATATATATATATA